AAGTCCAAACTATCATCTGGATAGTGTAATACCTAGGGTAAGGAGTGGGAAGGTTGTGGGCTCCTCTCTGGTGGGCTGCAAATTCCACTGGTGAACATGAGAACCAGGACTAGGGGTGGGTCTGGCTGGACAGGCTGTGGCACCCATTGGCATGAACGTGGGCTGGAGGGTGAAGTCAGTTGCACTGAATTAGGCTTCAATGCCCAATGATATATAAAAGCTCCCTGCATGTGGCCTGGGAAAGCAGTGGAGGATGGCCCAAAGCCTTGGGACCCTGCACCCACGCAGGAAACCAGAAGAGGCTCTGGGCTCCTGGCTTTGGATTAGTGCAGCTCCAGCTGTTGCGACAGCTTGGGGAGTGAATAAATGGACGAAAGATCCTCCTCTCTGTTTCTCCTCCCTTCTATATACCTGACTTTCCAATAAAAATAAATCTTTTAAAAAAAGACAAAAATAGAAACATCAAGCTAAGAAGCTATACTGCACAACAAAACAAGTACTCAGCAAGGAGGCAGCCAAAGAAAGGGAGGAAATATTTGCAAACTGTATATATGACAAAGGATTAATATCCAGGATAAATAAAGAGCTCAAGAAAGTCAACAAGAGAAAAGCAGTCCAGTTAAGAAATGGATGAAGGATATACGAACATGCACTTTTCAAAGGATGAAATACAAATGGCCAACAGACACATGGAAAGACAGATCACTAGCCATCAGGTAAACACAAATAAAAACTACAATAAGTTCCACCTCACACAATTAGAATAGTTGCCAACCAGCTTCAAAAGCCCAGCAAATGCTGGCAAGCATGTGGACAGAGGTTCCCTAATCTACAGCTGATGGGGACATAAACCAGCACAGCCGCTATGGAACCAGCATGGAGAGTCAGCAGAAACAGGAAAACGCACAAACCACAGAACCTAGCGATTCTGCTGCCAGGAATTTACCCAAAGGAAACAAAATCAGCATGCTAAGGACATGTGCACCTCCATCTTTACAGCAGCTCAACTCATAACAGTTCAGATGCAGAATCAATCCAGATGTGCCTCAGCTGATCACTGCACAAAGAAACAGTGGTAGATATACCCACTGCAGTACCACTGCAATATAAAAATGACAATCTGCCTTTCACAATGAAATGGATGTACCTGGAGACCATTATGCTTAGTGAAATAGGTCAGTCCCCAAAAAGACCCTGTTTTGTGAGGACTAATGTATAAAGTACAAAGAAAATATAATGTACAGGAGTAAAACTGACATTTTGAGATTTGATTATTGTATATAGCCAGCAGATAGAAGATCTTTCTCTATGTCTCTTCTTGTCTCTGCAAAAATCTGACTTCTCAATAAAAATAAATAAGCCTTTTTAAAGATTTATTTTTATTATTTTTTTATTGGAAAGGCGGATATACAGAGAGGAGAGACAGAGAGGAAGATCTTCCGTCCGATGATTCACTCCCCAAGTGAGCGCAACGGGCCGATACTATGCCGATCTGAAGCCAGGAGCCTCTTCCGGGTCTCCCACGCGGGTGCAGGTTCCCAAAGCTTTGGGCCGTCCTCGACTGCTTTCCCAGGCCACAGGCAGGGAGCTGGAAGGGAAGCGGGGCTGCCAGGATTAGAACCGGCGCCCATATGGGATCCCGGGCGTGCAAGGCGAGGACCTTTAACCACTTGCGCCACCGCGCCGGGCCCAAGCCTTTTTAAAAATTAAAAATAAAAAAGGAAGAAGAGTGGTAGGGAAAGAGGGAGGTTGGAAAGTATTATTCTTTTTAAATTATACTTATGAATTTTGTTACCTTCAGAAAAATGTTAGGAAATAAAATAAACATGAAAAATGGAAAAAGTCTTTAGATGGACTCCAAATGCATTTTGAAAAGATAATCATGGTCTGTCACCATTTTTACTTGAATGCTAAATAAACTAAGATCCTGAATAACAACCAGATATGAAGATGTCATACTGTTAAATGTTTATACAAATGGTGGTGGCATAAAAGACCCCAGCTGAATTCAGGCTAAAGGGAACACACCCACTGGAAAAGACAGGACTGTGGCCAACACAGCACCTATCTCCACACAACCAGGCAGAGGACTGTGGAAGCAGCTGGAAAGAAACAAGTAGCATCTGCATAGAAACTGTCTTCAGGGGCCCCGCGTAGTAGCCTAGTGGCTAAAGTCCTCGCCTTGCACATGGCAGAATCCCATATGGGCGCCGGTTCATGTCCCCGTGGCCCCGCTTCCCATGCAGCTCTCTGCTTATGGCCTGGGAAGGCAGACAAGGACACCTGGCTTTGGATCAACTCAGCTGCAGCTTGGGAGTGAATCAGCGGATGGAAGAGCTTCCTCTCTCTCTTCCTCTCTGTAAGTTTCCAATAGAAATAAATAAATATATCTAAAAAAGAAAGAAACTGCCCTCTGATGCTTGGGTGACCCTTGAATTAAACAACCACAGGAAGGATGTGAAGAAGCAGCTCAAGGAAAAAAGTAGCAGATAGAAGCTAAAGCAGTGAGCCTTAACAAATGTCAGCAACATAAATCCACCCGTACAACAAGCCATAGCCAAGCAGGATTCAGCACAGGATGCAATGCTGATTGTTCAATACATAATATTAATAGCCTGCATTGATTCCAGCCCATGTAACCACTGTGTGATCTGATTTTAGTTCCTTTAAACTTAAATAATGCTCTACAGCTACATGTAAATGAGTTTCAGCTGCACAGCATGACTGCTAGTAATGGGAGAATTAATTAAGAAACTTTGCCACTAAATTCAATGTAATAGCTGGGTTAATTGAAAATATTGCCAGACTTTCTCTTTCTGTGTAATGGGAGTTAGCTAGCGTGACTAGAGAAATTCTTTACTATTCAAAACTAGATAAATATAGTTGGTGCTTGCAACAGACAGTCGACTCACAAAAGAGATGCTGAGTCCTTCCAAAGAAGAAGTACATTTCTGGATAGAACATGGCTAGAGTTACCAACATCTGGCCAAGAAAAGAAAGGAAGTGTGTTCAAAGTTTAACCTTGTACAAAGAAATGAAAATTTTAACTAACAAGTCAGAAAAAAAAACCAGCCTAAATATAACTATAGGACTTGGCAAGTTCAACCTATTCATGATTTCAGAGTCTCAGTAGGTTTCCACGCAAAAAAAATTATCAATACTAAAAGTTTTAAAAATGAAAAAGACATAGATGAGTCAGAATTTTTAAAAAGTATGAAGTTGGAGGACATACACTACTTCAAGCTAATGTCAAACTAATCAATATATAATATATAAGCCTACAATAAATACATACAAAGTTAAAGACAATTAATCCTAACTGCCAGATAACCTAGCACACTTCCGACCACAGATTGCACAGATCACTGCCAGCACTTGAGGAACCACTAACACCTGAGCTTCCTAACTATTGACCTAAAAACAGAACAGGCTATTTGCGCTAAACTCTTAACTCAGTGGCCCAACACTGTCAAGATGCAGTATCAATAACTGACAGAAATCTTCAAAGCCTAAAAGCTAGCTTTGATATTTCAAAAATTCTTCTCTAATATATTTTTAATGCAGGGCATAGAATTTTAATCCAACATGATGAGTAAAAATAGATCAAAGTCAATGTTCAAATGAAAGACAATGATGAGAACAGAGGAGAGTCGGACCAGAATGAAGGGGGCACTGAGACGGGCTAGGCAAGTACCGAAAGTGACAATGAAGCAGAGAAAGATGTGCTGAGACAGAGAAGAAACAGCCAGAAATGAAGAGCTGATAGAGGCAGAAACATAAAGAAACAGAGCCATGAGCAATGGGTGGGGAGAAGCAAAAGCACGATGGAGGCAGCCACCAAGAAAGAAAGGCTGAGGAGTTCTTCCGAAAGAAAGGCTGAGGAGGGGTCGGCATCCTGCCCCTCTTCGAGGAGTACATTTAACACCAAAAGAAAGAAGCCTGGTGCTTCTCAGTCATCCCTCTGTTTCCAAATCCCCTTTCAAGCTGTTGCAAGCCACACTGCCCAGAATTTAAACCTCCTCAGGCAATCAGGAGAGGGAGGTGGTTGGCTGACTCCAGGCCGAGTTCCCCCCTGCAAGCCCCAAAGGACATTCTCCCAGAAGCAGGAGGGTTCTTCTGTTCAGAAACCCCCACTCTCTGAGAAAATGCCCCCATCCTGCCAATCCCAACCCCCAACTGTTCAGACAATGCTCTCTGCCTCTGAGCTTCAGGCATGACCACAGGACCTGGTTCTCAAAAGCCACCATGGTCTGTTAAACAAATAGGCATACAGGTACTCACATAGGCATACGTTATACACGCATTCACTATTTGTATGAACTTTTATGAGGAAGGTATTCAAAGTGCTGACAAACCTGTTCTCCATTAACCTCCCTCATCGCTCTCACGATCCAAACGATACATTCCAGCCAAAGGCTCTTTCACCTCGCATGCACGGCCTGACTTTACCTTCTAATTGTCTCCCCTCTATCTCCCATGCCATCTATCCACAGGCCAAAAGAACCATCAAGCCCTCCTGAATGCGTCTCCTTCAATCATTTCATCCCATGTCTTTCAGAAGTCATCACAGACGCCCTCTTTTGGTAGCGGGAAATGCCCCAAGTACACTCAACCCATTCCCCAAAATCACTCCCTGTCCCTCTTCCTTGCACCTCAAACAACAGCAAATTTCTCACCACTCTCTGAACACTTCTGTCTTCCCTTTCAACATGTCACACATTCTCTGCTTCCTCCCCATCTTGACCTCTGGCAATTCAAACTACACCACACACCTCAATCTGAGCACCAACCCAGGGAGCCAATCATGCCTGTCTCTGCCAATACATTTTGAAACATGTTTATTATGGCTTGTGTCATAACAGAGGTGATTACTTAATGATCTTCGTTTTCCATTACACTGTGGCTTACACAAGTACAGGTCTCATTTACATTTTTAAGCATCCCAGGGCTTGACTTAGAAGCTATCCACAGCAGCTCAACAAATAAGCTAACAAACATACCTTTCTGTGCTTTAATTAGTTGTTTTCCAATCTCTAGCGTCACATAGGCTGTGCCATTCAGAACTATGTCATTGATCGTCTTCCAAGCATTAGGTGACAGTCTTTCAGAGGGAGAAATAAAATTTCCTGCTGCGTTGTTTATCACGACCTAACAGATGAACAGCAAAAGTTAGAGAGACTACTGGGGATGAAGTTGTGTATCTTCCCTCTAGAACTTCTATTTTAAAAAGATTTACTTATTTTTACTTCAAAGGCAGATTTACAAAAAGAGAGATCTTCTATCTGTTGGTTCACTCCCTCAGTGGCTGCAATTGCTGCAGTGGGGCTGATCTGAAGCTGGGAACCAGGAGCTTCTCCAGGTCTCTCACGTGGGTACAAGGGTACAAGGACTTGGGCCATCCTCACAGCCTTTCCAGCACCAAATGTCCCATTTCTGAGACTTATTAATACAAATAATACAATGAAACTGTAGTTCATAGTTACAATACTATGAGATTGGGTTCAGCTTTGTTATATGTCAGTGATTTTTATTATTTACCAAATGTCAAAATCCTAATTCTTGTATTTACATTAAGGTAAACGATATTAGAAAACAAATACAGATTAAGCATATTTACCATGTGACAATATTTCAAGGAATCTCAAATAATGCATTTTAATATCCAGTGCTATTGTAGTTGAACTGATCCAATGAAACCTGGTTACTGACCTGCTTCTTCACTATCAAAAACTAGTCTAATAATTCCACAGTAGATTCAATCATATTGGTTAGTCTAAAAATACCTCTAACATTAAAATGCATTTTCTTTTAGGATATTAGAAGAAATAACTTCTTTCCAACAAATGAGCCAAACAATAGCAAATACCCAGGCACTTAGGTCTTACAAAAAAATTCAGAATTTTTTATAATTCCCCTTGTCTATGTTGTAAGAGAGATAATCAAAATTATTAGTAAAATCAGAGCATACATCATCTAAATTAGATATTGTGCTCTTAGATAACTGCTCTTCTTATTTCATAATCTTACTAAATAAAGTGAAATCAACCTTGTTCTATAATTACTAATGCACACTTTAAGGATCCCTAAAAGGAAGTAGTGCAGTCCACCTAATTTGTTGCGTCCTTTAAATGGAACCAGCATTTTCCCAGACGTGGAAAATAGGCACTTCCCACCACAGCACTTGCTCACATCAATATTTGATGTGCTTTGTGCATTCTGAGGGCGTTATCAACATCAAGCGCCTCTTACTGTGGCATCCATTGTACTTACATCAGGAAGACCTGCTGCTTTGATCAGTTCTGACACTGCCTTCTGTACCATGTTAGGATCTCTCACATCACACTGAACTGGATGAACCTGAAAATAATGAAGCCAAAAATGAACTCTTCATTCTCCAGGCTTTCGAATGCAAAGCTATGAGGAAAATACTTAAATGTTGTAATCCCTAAATCTACATTTAGTGATTAAGTGACATTTTTTTTTTAACGTACCTTATTTCCAGTCTGAGATGAAATCTGTTCTGCAGAAGCTTTCAGAACATCAATATTCCTGGAAGTAAACAGAAAGTATTTTGCTTGAGTTCTGAAAAGACTTCATGTTAAAGTTTCTTTTTAATTCCTTTTTTAATTCCATAAGGTAAAGAACACAAAGAATCCAGGGCTTAAGGAAAAGAATTTCTGAGAAAGCACAAAAGTTGCCTTAAAACATAAATCAGTTTTAATATACTTAATACTAAAAACTAAACTCAAAATAATTTTATACACTTGATAGTAGCTATTTAATTAGCCACTTTTAAGTCAGTTATTACATATCTACTTGTAGATTTAAAATATTTTCTTGATTATAATAATTATATCTATTCTTTTACCCCAATCAGCTTTACTAAAAAAATACATTCATGGTATAATGTCAGCAGCTCTTAGGCCAAATTTAAGGCTTCATATAAAATATATGCATTCAGAATTTTAGATGCTTGAGAGCAAAACAAAAATAATTTATATAGTATATACACATATTTATACATATAGTTACATATATAAACTTATATACACAAAAAAGTTTTGTAGTATGAATTTACCTTACATAGTACTTAAATGAAAATATTATAAAACTCAAAAACATTACAGTACAGAAACACAAAAGTTGTGGTCAATTACATTTATGAATACTTCATCCACCTAAAAGTTTATCTTATTCAAAAAATAAAGAAAGGATGGATTTTTCTGAGTAATCTTGAAAGCTCCAAACTTTCACAGGGTCCAGGATATGGCTAAATAAGAGATCCCTTCCTCATGTCGATGCACTTCCAACATTCAGCACAACAGATGTTTTCAAAAATCTACATCAAATATTACCATGCAAAGTTGATTATCAACTGATAGAACCATAATCGCTTCTACTGAGAACAAAACAGCCTCAGTACAGTTCATTTTAACTTCATCTTCATGAGCAGAAACAGTAGTGGACTGAATTCAGGAAATGTAAACATCACCAGTTCCATAATGTTACTATTTCTATCACCTCAAATTATACCTGACTTTTCCCAGGGTGCTTTGTTGAAATCATGCAAAGAATTCAAGTACTTTCTGTAACAGTAAGGTGCACCTCCACTACACAGGCGCACTGCAACAGCGCAGCGCAGCTCCTTTCTTGCCCAGTGACCTGCTGAGACCGGCTTACCTGCTGGCTATCACGCACTGAGCACCCAGGCTGGACAGGAAGGTTGTCATTGCTTTCCCAAGGCCGGTGCCTCCCCCAGTAATGAACGCCACTTTTCCTTGAAAACTATTGGGAGGTAGCATCACTTTTTGAATGGGAGGAAAGAATTTAGCCTGGGCAGCTTCAGTGCTTTGACATAATATTTTTGTCCCACAACTGAAAAACTAAAAAGAGAAAAAGATAGAATTGACATTTGCGGGCATGTATTCCACAAGAGAAATGAATTTTTAAAACTTACTCTTTAAAACTAACCAAAGTTTTGAATGAATATAAACTCACCGCAAGCATACTATGTAATCATCTACCTTGCCGAACGTCAATAAAGTCAGTAACAGACACATACACAATCAGAGATTTTCCACCTGTTGGATAGAGAACCTAAAGGCCTGCCACAGCCAGGATGGGACCAGGTCAAGGCCAGGAGCCAGAAACAACTTGGTCTCCCAACTGAGTGACAGGAACCTAAGCACTTCAGCCGTCACCTGCTGCTTCCACATGTGCACACTGGCAGGAAGCTGGATTGGAAGCAGAGCCAGAACTCTGATGTAGAGGGCAGACATCCAATGCAGCATCTTAACCACTGTACCAAATGCCCACCTCCAAATCGAACCTTAAAAATTCACAAAGCGGGCCCAGTGAGGTAGCCTGGCAGTTAAAGTCCTCGCCTTCCATGCATGCCCGGGATCCCATATCAGCACCAGTTTGTGTCCCGGCAGCCCCACTTCCCATCCAGCTCCCTGCTTGTGGCCTGGGAAAGCAGTCAAGGATGGCCCTGTACCCACATGGGAGACTTGGAAGAGGCTCCAGGCTCCAGGCTCCTGGCTTCAGATCAGCTCAGCTGTAGCCACTGCGGCTGCTTGGGGAGTGAACAAGCAGACAGAAGATCTTCCTCTCTGTCTCTCCTCCTCTCTGTATATCTGACTTTCTAATAAAAATAAACAATAAATATTTTTTTTAAAATTCACTAAGCATTTTTGCCTTTTAACAGGAATAACTTAAATAAAATTCACATCTCATCTTTGACTCACAAAAGAAAATTATTTTAAAATTCTTCTTTATTAAATCAAAGACCTCCTACTTTCTGCTGGCTAAGAAACTTAGAATAGACAGAATATTTCCAACAGCAGGAGGGTGGTCACAGTAACGCACATTAAGCTGCCTCCTGGAACAGCCACAGCCAGACAGGAGTGCCTACCTTCCCTTTTGATACGGCTTCCTTCTAAAGTGCGTTCCAGGCAGCACGTGCTGGCTCAGTACTGTACAAGTGTATCCATCACCCCTCTACAAGACCTTGACGGAGCTCTAGCTCCTGGCTTCAGCCTGACTCTGCTCTGACTACTGCGGGCATTTGGGGAGTCTGAAAATATCTCTCCGTTAGCCTGTACTCAAATACATAAATAAGCTTTTTAAAAAATTCAGTAGAAAGAAAATCAGGATCTTTTTTTCTTCCTGTGAGTGAAGAAGGGAAATAAAAAATAACACTGCCCTATTTTATATTTCATAAGCTATGCTCACGCTACTTTAAAAAAAATCACTATCATGATCACATTTAACTATAAAAACAAACGTAGTGTTAAACAGAACTGACTTTCATTAGGTGATAATCATGTACTGGAATTAGATTCTTGGTCTGCACAGCCTAGAGAAGTCTTCACAAAAAACTACTTAGTCTTTCCCTCTTCACAGTGACACAAATACCAGATTCACCCTGATGTACAAGAAGGGCTTACAGAACTTAAAACATTATAAAATCAAGGAGAGTGTCTGGCACAGTAACGAAGGTGCCACTTGGGGCACCACATCCCAAGTTGGAGTGCTGCACTCTTAAAACCAGCCATTTGTGCCAAAGTGCACCCTGGGAAGCAGCGATGGTGTAGGAAGAGGGGTCCTTTATCACCCTGTGTAGGACCCAGATTGCGTTGCCAGCTTCTCACCTTCAACCTACACTTTCCCCCAGCCCCAGGATTAGAGCAACCAACAGGTCAAAGTGTCATCTGCCTCAATCTTATTCCCTCTCTCTTAATTGTTTTTCAAAAATATTGCCGAAGTTACAGAATCGAGCTTGAAAGGTGGGCTCACAGGTTCTGGAGTCCTCTACAAACCACCTTGCATGTCTCCTCTCTGTTCTCTTAAGGCCATGTCTTTCCTCTTAGAGACAACTCCCAATGAGTAGGATGCGGCTGGGATGGGGTTGGCTCAGATCTAACATCTCCACTATTCTATACAATTATTGTCTCCAAGTAGGACAGACTATGGAGGTGTCCCTTGCTCTGGTTTTTTTTTGCTTTTTAATATTTTTCCAGATCCATCCATTAAGTATAGTTTAGTTTTCTATTCAGGACAAGATATTATTGAACGAAAAAACTGAGGCCATATGTAAAATAACTAAAGATAAATTTGTAACCTCCAGTCATATTTCTTTTCCTGTGGACAAGGCATTTTCTTTTTTATCCCTTCTGCCAAAGCAACCTACAATAACCTTTTTCTACATAAATGGCAGCTTTACTTGAGGCTGCCTCCCGCCTTCAGAACTATTCCAAGAAGATGATAAATCAGGAAGCATGCAGGAGTAGGCTGCTAAATTCATCACTACCTAATAACAGTGAAAAAAAGGGATCTTAATTTGCCAAAGTCGTTGACATTAAGTTTTTCTTCTTGTTAATTTGTATACATAATCTGATGTGGAAACTTACGGAACTCAATTAAAGACATTAACACACAGACCTTCCTTGTAAAATATTCTCTTCAGTTTCTTGATACAGGAAAAAATATAAAGGTGAAAGCAGCACATTTGACACCAAAAACTGCTGATAAGTGTTTACAACCTATCAGGTTACCACCATAACATGCTCTTGCCGATTTGAGCTAATCGAAGCCCATCCCAGGACTCCTCTCACCAAACCACAAGTGAAGAAACCACCTGCTAGTCAGCTCGATGTTCTGACAATTCACACTCTATACACATGTTCATTCAAGTCATCGCTTTGCCTAAAAGTCAACTGTGCAACAGCAGGACTCACAGAGCCCATCAGAACTGGGTCACTCTGTATTCAATGCCCTGTTTCTACAAAAAGGAAGAGGATGAGAAAGAAAGCACGCTGAGCAACCTGAAACAACACTTTGGCCATTACTTTTTCTTGTTACTTTCCTAAAAATTGATTTTAAAAAAAGCTGTAATTTTTTTTTTTGCTTTGTTTGTTTTTGTAGAAATAAGTTTAGAATGAAGTTGTTTCTGAAAACGGAAATTACACATTTCAAATAAAAGAACTCATTTCTCCAGAGATCTTCAGGGCCCTAAAATTCTTAAAACTCTCTGAAATCTTCCAATTTTGGCTATATATATATATATATTTTTTTTAGGATTGAAAGTTATAAGTTTAGCAGAGTAAAAGCAATCACCCACCTCTGCTCACAGACAGTATCTCATCACAGAAATGATGGGTTCTACCTTCCAGCCCTGCTAGTTACAGTAACTCTAAAGAGAAGGGACTTAGAGCCCAGCACAGTAGCCTAGTGGCTAAAGTCCTCACCCTGCATACACTGGGATCCCATATGGCCGCCAGTTCTAATCCCTGCAACCCCACTTCCCATTCAGCTCCCTGCTTGTGGCCTGGGAAAGTTGCTGAGGACAGCCCAAAGCCTTGGAACCCTGTTCCCACATGGGAGACCCTGAGGAGGCTCTGGGCTCCTTGCTTCAGATCTGCACAGCTCTGGCTGTTGCGGTTGCTTGGGAATTAGTCATTGGATGAAAGATTTTTCTCTCTGTCTCTCCTCTCTATGTATCTGACTTTCCAACAAAAATAAATAAATCTTTAAAAAAGATGGAAAGGCAGACTTTGTCAGCCAGTGGATTCTGAAAAGATTTCATTGTGCTTGGAATGGCAAGATCGACAGCAATTCAAACAGTTGAACTATGAAAACCACTTGAGCAGTGTCCTCGGAGCATGCCACACATCAGCCACCCTGGGATGGCTGGGAGGGTGGGTGTTGCTTCTCCCTTTGTGTCTCCCCTTACCCCAGATACAGGAAGGAAAAAAAATGTGGAAACAATGGTCTTACCCACTTTCCTGTAGCCCTTGACCCTTTGAACCCTAACCAACTATGTAAAGATCATTAAAAAATTTTTTTTAATTTTTTAATTAAAAAAGAAGGGATTTACCAACTCTCAAATGGCCGTTCAGAAAGAGTCTGAACTTTGTATTCTCTAACAGAAAGGAACATTGTTCCAGTGAGATTTACACTGGGATTAAGTAATTCAGTATTTCGACTATTCTGAAATGGTTAGGATAAATGTCTAAAATAGAGGCATGCTACAGATCCTAAGCCAACTGTGTGGTGGTAGGATTGCCCAATGTTTTTAAACTCTGCACTCAGTATTTAGAAATCAGGAAAATCCCACAGGAGTGCCCACTGCTAGTCCCAGCTCCACTTCAGACGCAGCTTCCTGTTGACGTTCACCTTGGAAGACATACTGGGGTACGTGAATTCCATACTCCCAGCTTCAGCCTAGCCCAGTCCCAGCTGCTGCAGGCTTTGGGGAGTGCATCAGCACAACAAAGATCTCTATTGGTCTCAAATAAAATGAAAATTAAAAAAAAAAAAATCTCTCAAAAACATGAACGCCTTCCAGAGTCAAAAAGACCAAAGTCAGAGTCTTCACCCGGGCACTCACAGGTTCACATCACGGTACAAATACAGCATCTAGCCACCTTCCTAGCTCTGCATTGCACCAGTTCCATCAGAGATGAGCTTTGCACTGAAAAATTTCTGGGCATTCACAAAATTTGCCATGCTTCCCCCTATTCTGGCCTTCCCTTCTGCTGCCTCCTCAGCCTGACTCACTTCCTTTCTCAAGCTTCAAGAATCACATTTCAAAAGCATGCAGAGGCCAACACCTCTGTAAAAACCGTTAACAGGTGCCTCAGTTAAATAGGACCAACGAATCCATCCCTTCACCAAGGCTTCTGGGTTTGACTGTGAGCAGAACAGTTTCTCGTTCATCATCAAGTTAGGGAATCTGACAGCAATAAGGCATACTGTAAGTGTTTGGTTTATTGAATTTAATACAGCTTTGCCAAGCTCCAATTATATTCAAAAGCACAGTGATGGAGACTTAGAATCTTACATGAACATATAATACAAACCCAGCTCTCTGCCCTTTGTT